AGGCGCCACACTATAATTTGATTGTCAACATAGATAATCTAAAGGTATTACAAGAAAATAATCAGAGAGGACAAGAATTTGGTGAAATATGTAAATATCAACGATTTTCTCTTGTTAACCTTCTTTAGCCACAAGATAGGGAATGCTAATTGAATTTATATTTTCAATGAATTTGAATTACACTATTCGTTTTTTCTAATAATTTTATTGTTAATCTGAATAGATAATTTTGAAATGTAAAACTTTAAAATTTACTTATTTATTCGAGCTGCTATACTCTCGTAGTCGTCGAAGACTTCTAAAAAAGAAAGCCTCAACCTACAATAAAACCTTTATAAAATAATAATGTTGGAATCGAGAAAATTTATTATTTTAGAAGGATTATTAATTTATCGATAAATGAATACTTTATTAAGTTATCGATAAATGAATATTTATTAATTTATAGAGTATTTAATATTTGTATAACTTGTATTATATTTTACCATAATTCATATAGGAAATTTAAAAAAATATATATTGAATGTGGTGAAATTCAAAATTTAATCAGTAAGCACACAAAAAATGCATACATATATTAAAGAGGAAACGGTAATGTACACGCATTGACTTCAAATTTTAATATATTGGAAGATTAAATGTTCAAATTATTTCATGTACACAAGAAACATAATTTCTACAGTTACTAGTATGGACTTTTATGAATTTAAGCAATTATTATTTTATATATTCGTTGGGTCTTAAATTGATCTAAAAAAGATTATCTTATGCATTTAGTAGGGTTATTAATTTAGTACACTTGCCTTATTTGGGATCGAAATTTTTTATTATTTAATCGAGATTATAAATGTATCGAACATTTAATTATCAAGTTTCTACCCTATATTCATAGGGAAAACAGTATAAAGACTAACAAGCATTTATTATTTGTAATAAGTAGCCTAGAGTCGTGTACTAAAGTGTACTTCAACTAATTGTAACAACTCTCGAAAAGAGAAGCAAAGGCATATTAAAAATAGGGACATTAGGGGTTCGATTCAACCAGTTTTTGATAGATTTTTCATTTAAACCGTTTAAAAGGGTTTGAGAAAAATCAAATCCCAAACTAAACAATTTAGGGTCTGTTTGATAGAGATTCTCATTTCTACAGTAAATCAATTCTCATTTTCAACCACACATTCTTCAATAAAAAAATATTTTCTATCACATCAATAATTTTTTCTTCTTTTTCAACCACACATTTTTCATCATATCATTATTCAAAATCAATTATTCCCCCAAAAAATCTCTACCAAACAAGCTCTTAAAATGTTTTGAAAAATTTTCGAACTTAAACCGAATGTTTTGATCCGATTTTAAATCGCGGTTATTTCTTCATATGATCAGTTTATCATCACTAGTTCACTAGTTATAAAATGTCTTCATACTTTATTGGCGATAAATGATAAAAAAAATAAAAATATATTGAACGCGATGAGAGTTTTGACTTTGATGTAAAGGCTTCGACTTTGATGGTGTGATTGGTAATAGGATTATAGAATTAGGATAATCAATTAATTAATGGTATTTGGTGATGTACAATTGACAGTTAATTACATATTTAATAGTCATATTTTATTTTGAAAGTCAAGATTGTAACTTATAAGTCTAATTATTGACCACGTTTTTTTTTTTAAACGGTCCGATTTAATTTTAATTCGTCGTTAAAATTTTGAGCCTAAAATTTCTCATTGACGAATCTACATGGCATCAAACAGATAATTTCAAAAAGGCAATTTCGATTCAGTTTTCTTGTTTGACGAGTTTTGCTTGCAAGCATGCATCTAGATTTGGTCATACTAGTAAGATACTAAACTTTTCCAAGAAGGGCCCGATTAGGTGTTGAAAACAATGCGTTCCCAACGTTAGTCGAAAAAGCAGACCAAAGTTGGCCGGGATTTGGTAACAAAGATATTTTGAATAATATTTACTTTGAATATTCGACGACATTTTTTTTCTTAATATAATAAATGAATATGTAATAGAGTCAAACAATGTCGTTTTCGATTAGCTGTAGTATTTAACTTATCAGCTAATGGTTTCATTAGAAGTGATTTATTTGGTTGTTTATATTTTATAATGATATGAACTTCACCATATAGAGGGTTTTTTTTTTGGACCCGTTTCTAATAATGAAAGAGAATTGAAATCTGTTGAAAATTAAGAGATTTGAGTAATAACTTTAAGATCAAACTTACCAATCTTATCAAAAATTGAACAGACATGAAAATGAGTAATAAAACACCAAAGGAAAAGAATATCAGAGTAACGCCAAGAGAAATAGATGCAAAATCGATGTAAGAGTTGAACTATTTGTCCTTAATTCAATTTTACCTTGCAACGGTGCCTATGGATGATGGCAATCAACTCCCAAAATGCAGCGACTATCTTTTTTTTAGTACTTCAAAATACAAGGACAACGAACTGAAGATTGATTTTTGTACTCCTTCTATAATGAAATGGAAAACTGAGTTTTATGCCGAGTTTTGGCTAGGAAAAGATGAATTTAATGTCATAATATGATTACATATCATTGGGATGAAGTGATGGCCGTCCCAAGGATCTTATTCATAAAGGAGAGATTGTGAGTGAAGAAACAAGCCTCAAAACTCAGCAACATTTGTCGAGGATCGCAGCTTTTGTTGCCGCTCGACTGTCGTCCTTGCGTTGCTCGAGCGTCAGAAACAGAGACCCTGTCACTCGCCTATCGCTCGAGCACTAGACGAGCGGCAGTGTTGGACAATTTTCCAAGCAGTTTTCCTCTCTTTTTTTGTTTTTCCAATTTTGAATTGCAATTTCTCATTCATCCGTAATTGGATTTGTTATTCCAAATATACCACAGCAATCTACTCGACGAGTAGAACATGTTAATTTATTTATTTATATAATTTGACTATCGAATCAAGTCTAAATATTCGATCGAAATTACACAAAAGTTACTTTACCCTGATTTTGTACTTAATCAATTCCAACGAATTCATCTTTTGATGGAAGAGTCGAATCCATTTATATAGTCTGTGTGAAATTATGTTTGAACTTTCTTCAAAATTACCATCTCACCATTTCACCCCAATTATTTGACATTATAATGAGATGATTAATAATTTTTTGGAGAATGTATGGTTAAAAAAGAAAGAATTTTTTAAAATTTACGTGTAATATTATTTTATTGGAGAATGCATGATTGATAAGAAGAAAGAGAAAAATAAATGCCAAACATATTTCGTTATTGAAATTTAATATTTCATCTTAAAGAGTCAACGCTACTAAGATGAATGATCAAACCCTTATTTATTGTAAGTTGTTTGCATTTTTGTTTGAGATATATTTTTCAGCAAAAAGCTTTATATGTTGTTTATTATTTACATTATTTTCTCGAAAATCAGCAATTGCCAACTTATTTGCTCAAATGATCAAACTTTATTTGCATTTACAAAGAATATATATTAATATACTACGGTGTGCACGAGCTTGGCGATGGACTTTTGGTGTTGCAATATTGTGCGATAGCTTTTTCTGGTGTATTGAAAGTTGGATAAATCTATATGTACATAATTATTATACATAATGGATTACATAGATCATTCTTTATATACTTGAATACATGATTTAACCTAGATGTTTTGATATCTCTAATGTTGCAAACTTGATCATTCTTTATTTTGTCTATGAGAATTATTTACTTTTCAGAATCATTGCGATGAATAGAAAAAAAAAAGAATATTGATTAAAAAATGAACATGTAAGATTACATTATAAAATAAGTAAGTTACAACATAAATGATTTTTTTATTTAATCAAATCATTTATATTTTCTTCACAAATGGAAGATAAGTAAGTTGACTGTAAGATAAAAATTCCTTTTGAAAAAGTACGTGCTTTATTTAGAAGTAACAGAAAGTAAATTATTTTACTTAAAAGTAGCTCAATTTTAAGTTTACTTTAAAAAATAATATTTCACTTAAAATTAAGAAAATTTATTTATACATAATTTAGAAAAGTAACTTTATATTTTTTAAGCTTTCTCTTAAAATTTGACATTTTTACTTAAATAAAGTAAAAGAAACATGACTTATCTATACACGTATGTAGTTGAAAAACTTGCTTAAAATTAAATTTAACTTTTAAGCTTACTTTTAAAGAAGTTTTTTTTTTTTTTGCTTAAAAGCAAGTTATCCAAATATGTTTGCAAACAAAAATAAATGAACTTTTTTTAAACTTGGGGACAAAAATAGCGTAAAAATACTAATTAAATGATCTTCAGCTTTTCCACCCTAATTTTATCCGAAACTTTTGAAACTAGATCCTATTCCATTTCAACCATACATTTCATTAATTTTTAACAAAATCAAAAATGGACCGAGTAGCAGCAACATCGCCGAAATAGGATGGCTTTGAAACTCATCGTTTTCGAGAAGACCAAAACGTTGGAAAATTCAACAATAGTAACATGTACTAATTCATTAAATCATTTTACAGATTTTTCTTACGTAGATAGTAATGTGAAGACCGTCAAACATTAATATTATTTAATGTGACCCTTCTGGACTGAACTTTATTACTATTTGGCTTTATTCTACCTATATAACGAATTTTAAATGTGATCCAATTTGCATGGCATCTTAATGGTCAATACTATTAATAATTAATAAATGTTGGTTTATTATAACTAACCAGAGTTGACAAATTCTCCACCTGCTAACTTCAATTATTCAACATACTTCCTTTCACGTAAGCGTGTTTGAGGCCATAAGTATTATTCTTCTCCGTTGATCGAATCAAATTGGTAAATGAGTGCATGCAGTGGGCCCCCACTATCCTCTATTAGCCATGCAATGGTCTCCATGATTAGGTAAGTAAGCTCCAAAGATATACATCGGAGCCCTATATATTGGCCACAAATTCATTGCAATATTTACCATGCAACTTAACTTTTTTTTCTACTTCTAACAGATAAATCGATGGCTACTTTATCAGTTGTCCTTTTCATTATCTTCATGCTGTTTATTGGCAGCTCTTCAGCTCAACTCTCCACTGATTTTTATGACAAGACTTGCCCCAAGGCGTTATCCACCGTGAAATCGGCGGTCGAGTCCGCCGTAGCAAAGGAGAAACGTATGGGTGCTTCACTTCTCCGCCTGCACTTCCACGATTGCTTTGTCCAGGTAATTTTCATTTCTAATTATTCCCATGTTTGGTTTAGATAAACATTGATGAAATGTGTGGTTGAAAAGTTGTGGATCCCATAAAATGTATGATTGTATTAATTGTAAATTTTAACTTGAATTTTTATCAAGATTTTAAGCTACACTAAACATGACTTATATTCTTTCGTCTAAAAGCCTCAATCACCGTTAGTACTTATCATGGTTAACTATGTTATATTAGTGTCCAGTTATATCATGTTTCCATCAAAACATCCAAAAGAATATGTATTACAAGTATTCATGGACAAGATTTAAACAAATACACGTGTGTAATAAGTTATTCTTCAATTATTTCTTCGAAAAATGATCGTCAATAAACTTTTCAAGTTTCCAAAAATGTTAACTTTCAGAAACAGACTAGTTTTGAACCAACAACTTCTCGATGTTTTGTCGTGAAATGAAAAGACTAAATTGGCACGTTGTCTTTGTCAAATAATAATAATAATAAACACTTTGTACTTATTAGTGTTCTTTAATTTCGTGTCTTGGGGCTAAACATGAAATAGGATTAACAATCTTTCTCATTTTAAATAGGGATGTGATGGATCAATTCTCCTTGACGACACATCTTCGTTCACCGGGGAGAAAACTGCTGGCCCCAATAGAAACTCCGTCAGGGGATTTAATGTGGTCGACAACATTAAATCCAAGGTCGAGGCTGTATGTCCAGGAGTCGTGTCGTGTGCTGACATCTTAGCCATTGCTGCCCGTGATTCTGTTGTTACTGTGAGTTCTTGTTCTAATTAATCCTTCATATTATACATCATATTGGCTTACAAGATTAATTATGGCAAGTTGGTGTATCCAATTTTACAATATTTTTCAGCTTGGAGGACCTAGTTGGAAAGTGAAACTTGGAAGGAGGGATTCAAAATCAGCAAGCCTTTCAGCTGCAAATAGTGGTGTAATCCCACCTCCAACTTCTACTCTTAACAACCTCATAAATAGGTTCCAAGCGAGAGGTCTCTCCGCCAAGGACATGGCTGTTTTATCAGGTATATATCTAATTATCCTATTACTAGCCTGACTTCGACGTTGTACGCGTTTTCTCTAAGTTCGTCTTTGGCCTCCATTATTTGAAATTCTTTTATTCTCAAATTCATTTACAATCACGCATTTTATGCGCTCGACAATTTTTATTAATTTTTTAGCCATACATTCGTCAATTTTTATCAAAATTCAGCTACTAAAAATTCAATTTTTAACTAAACCAAACAGATCGAACACGTGGTACTTCATATTAAACAAGGCTACTTCCAAAATATATATGTATGCATACA